CCCGTATCTAGCTTTTTTTAGTTTTTCTTTTTTGGGCCCCCACCCCAAAAAAAATGCTTTATTATCCACTATTTGTTGCCTGGGGAAATTTTTTTGGGGAGGGGGGCGCTTTTTTTTTTTGTAGTAATAATTGCTTTTTCGTTGGGTAAATTGCGGACCCCTGGTAAAATACGGGTTATATGAAATTCACAGTACCCGGAGGGGTTTACCTGGAGGGGAGTTCCCGGGGGTCAACGCAACGCCCCCCGGCCCGGTCTGTGACCCGGCCTCCTGGTGGGGTCAGGAAACCTGAAACAACCAGGGTGTTGCTTCGGGCAAGGGAAAAAAAACGTACGAGCCCCAGCCCGGCTGTTTAGGATTTCTGTTATTTCAAGAAAAAAAAACTAAGAAAGTCACCCACTCCACTAAAAAACCCTTATAATACTGGTTAGTTTCCCACTACAGCACTGTATTTTTGCTATTCATGGTATCACTAGGTTTTTATGCGAGTACACTAGAGGCCAGGGGAAAAATTATTAAAAGAGCTGGGCCACTGTGGTAAGTTTCTGGGGGCTTCTGGCACCTTTTCCCCTTTTAGGGTTATCCTTCAATTTTCAAATTCACCTGTTTTTAAATTTTTCTTTTGCCTTATCTCTTTTTACTTGGGAGCCCCTGTAGTATTTCCCCTATTCACTATTAACACAATGCTATTTAGGGGGACTCTCTTTCCTCTGACAAGAAAAGTTTTAATTTTTTTTTAAATTTTTTTTACCCCGGCACCCAGGCCTTGATTCCCCCCTGGTAGTAAAAATTTTGCTAGGGAGTGCACACTAATTTCCTTTTTTTACTCAGTAATAAAGGGTTTTCCCCCCAAGATTGGTTCCCGGCGCTAGAGGGATGTTCGTATAGGATTGATGACACAAATTAAAATTTAGCACGGGGAAGAGCGAACGTTTAAAACACGAGAAAACCCCGGGCACAAGAAGATGAGAGATAGGTGTGGTTCCTGGAGCGGTGTTGGGGACATAGTCAACAGGGTTTGGGTTTAAAATTAAAGTCAGGTAATGGGAAAAAAAGCCCAAATTTTCTGTCTCAGTGCGGGGGGAAAAGATTTGGGAAGGGTAGGAGAGAAGAGGGTGCTAAGGGTAAGACAGGTCAGCTTTTGATTTCATTAAGTCTAAGGGGAGGGGTCCCCCAATTTATAGTTGCATTTTCCTAGAAGGGGAGTAGGGAATGAATGGTTGGGCTAGGGCAATTGGGGGTAAATTGCTGGCTAGAAAAGATACTGCAAGGAACTTGCAATCCCCTTTATTGACAAAATGGAAAAAACTTTTTTGGGGCAAAAATTTTATGTTGCAAGGGATGGGGTACATCTCTCTGGGGCAGGGGTGGTAGCACTTGCAGACTCGATTGAGAAGGCCATTAGTGAAATGCCTATGATTTTAAACTGATGGAAGTAGAGGTATGGGTGTGTGTGGGAAACAAGCAGGTTGCAACACTAGGGTTGGAAACAGTAAATGTATAAAAGGCATTCAGCATGAAGTTATAAATAAAGACAATAGATCAGGTCGGCAAACAAAGGGGGACAGCAGAGGGCAGCAAGGGACTAGCTCCTTAAGGTTTACTATACTAATAGCAGGAGTGTAAGAAATAAGATAGATGAGCTAAGATTAATTGCAAGTGCAGGAAACATAGATATTATTGCTATAACAGAGACCTGGCTCAATCTGAAAATAGAGAGATGCCCTCTGAATGTCACATACAAGGCTATAAATTATTCCACACTGACAGGGTCAACAGGAAAGGTGGTGGAGTAGCGATGTATGTCAGAGACAATTTAAATTGTTGTGTTAGACAAGATATTAAATTAGAAGCATCAGCCACTGAATCTGTTTGGTTACAGCTTCTCGAGGGCCGAGAAAAACTAATTTTGGGTGTGATTTACAGGGCCCCAAATCTTGATAGGGAGTGCAGTAAACTTCTTTGGGACGAAATTCGTAAGGCATCTACATACGAAAATGTTGTGCTAATGGAGATTTCAACTATAGACAGATTGACTGGAGCAATTTGACAGGAAATTTAGAGTCAGGTGACTTTCTTGATACGATCCAGGATTGTTTTTTAAAACAGTTTGTGACAGAGCCTACTAGGGGAAATAACCTCCTTGACTTGGTTCTTGCCAGTAGGGAAACACTAATTAATAATCTTGAGGTTAATGATGAGCTTGGGGAAAGTGATCACAAATCACTCAGTTTTAATATATCATGGAATTCCCCTAATAATGGCAATCAAGTCTCCGTCCCTGACTTTCGCTTGGCTGATTTCATAGGACTGAAAAATTACTTAGGTGGGCTGAACTGGAATGACCTGACTAAGGGTAAGGTAGGTGGTGATGGTTGCCGATATGATGCTTTCCAGGGCATAGTTCTAGCTGCTCAGTCAAATTATGTTCCAAATAGGGAAATCAGATCAAACAAAAATGATCCTAAATGGATGAACAATAGATTAAAATATCTGATTGGTCAAAAGAGAGACATATATTGGCAAATCAAAAGAGGAGAGGGGCAATTAAGAAATCGATATATTCAGTTAAAGAGAGAAATAAAAAGGGAATTAGAAAAGCAAAAAGAGATTATGAGGTTAAAGTTGCAAGAGAATCGAAGACTAACCAAAAGGATTCTTTCAGGTATACAGAAGTAAGATCAGGGACAAGATAGGCCCACTCAAAAGTTCCTCGGGTCAGCTCACTGACAGTGATAAGGAAATGTGTAGAATTTTTAACACATACTTCCTCTCAGTTTTTACACAGGAGGATACCAGCGATATTCCAGTAATGATAAATTATGTAGAACAGGACGATAAAAAAACTGTGCATGATTAGGGTCACAAGTGGCATGGTCCTTAGGCAAATAGATAAATTAAAACCTAACAAATCCCAGGCCCTGATGAACTGTATGCAAGGGTTCTAAAGGAATGTAAAGAGGAGCTTAGCACACCTTTGGCTAATCTTTTCAACATATCACTACAAACTGGCATGGTGCCAGAATAAGTGGAAAATGGCAAATGTGATACTTATTTTCAAAACAGGTGACAGGTCCTTAGCTTCGAACTATAGACCAATAAGCCTAACCTCCATAGTGGGAAAATTTATGGAATCAATAATTGCCGAGGCAGTTCGTAGCCACCTTGAAAAGCATAAATTAATCAACGAATCTCAGCATGGTTTTACAAAGGAGCGTTCCTGCCTTACGAATTTATTAACTTTTTTCACTAAGGTATTTGAGGAGGTAGGGTCATGGTAATGAATATGATATTGTGTATATGGCCTTAAGTAAGGCTTTTGACAGGGTCCCACATCAGAGACTATTGAGGAAAATTAAAGCACATGGAATAGGAGGAGAAATTTTTTCCTGGATAGAGGCATGGTTGACAAATAGGCAGCAGAGAGTTTGCATAAATGGGGAGAAATCAGAGTGGGGAAGCGTCACGAGCGGTTGTTCCACAGGGGTCAGTGTTGGGCCCCCTGCTGTTCACAATCTACATAAACGACATAGATGAGGGCATAAAGAGCGACATCGGCAAGTTTGCCGATGACACCAAAATAGGCCGTCGAATTCATTCTGACGAGGACATTCGAGCACTCCAGGAAGATTTGATAGACTGATGCAGTGGTCGGAGAAGTGGCAGATGCAGTTTAATATAGACAAATGCAAAGTTCTAAATGTTGGACAGGACAATAACCATGCCACATATAAACTAAATAATGTAGATCTTAATATACGGATTGCGAAAAAGATTTAGGAGTTCTGGTTAGCAGTAATCTGAAACCAGACAACAGTGCATAAGTGTTCGCATAAAGCTAATAGAATCCTTGGCTTCATATCAAGAAGCATAAATAATAGGAGTCCTCAGGTTGTTCTTCAACTCTATACATCCTTTGGTTAGGCCTCATTTTAGTTATGCTGCACAGTTTTGGTCACCGTATTACAGGATGGATATAAATTCTCTGGAAAATGTACAAAGGAGGATGACAAAGTTGATCCCATTGTATCAGAAACCTTCCCTATGAGGATAGACTAAGGGCCCTGAATCTGCACTCTCTAGAAAGACGTAGAATTAGGGGGGATATGATTGAGGTGTATAAATGGAAGACAGGAATAAATAAAGGGGATGTAAATAGTGTGCTGAAAATATCTAGCCTAGACAGGACTCGCAGCAATGGTTTTAAGTTGGAAAAATTCAGATTCAGGAAGGATATAGGAAAGTACTGGTTTGGTAATAGAGTTGTGGATGAGTGGAACAAACTCCCGAGTACAGTTATAGAGGCCAGAACGTTGTGTAGCTTTAAAAATAGGTTGGATAAATACATGAGTGGATGTGGGTGGGTGTGAGTTGGACCTGATAGCTTGTGCTACCAGGTCGGTTGCCGTGTTCCTCCCTTAAGTCAATGTGACCTGACCTGACAAGTTTGTAGATGAATGGTTCAGAGAACCGACATGTTGATAAATTAGACACATGTGCAACTCTTGGGTATCTTTATTGAGGAAACGTTTCGCCACACAGTGGCTTCATCAGTCCATACAAAGGAGAATCTTGAAGAATAGGAGGAGAATGAGGTAATCAGTCCCTCAACCTTGAGTCGATGTGGTCAGTCCATCAATCTTGAATAGAATCTATTCAAGATTGATGGACTGACCACATCGACTCAAGGTTGAGGGACTGATTACCTCATTCTCCTCCTATTCTTCAAGATTCTCCTTTGTATGGACTGATGAAGCCACTGTGTGGCGAAACGTTTCCTCAATAAAGATACCCAAGAGTTGCACATGTGTCTAATTTATTGACCTGACAAGGTTGGGTGCATTGGCTTAAGCCGGTAGGAGACTTGGACCTGCCTCGCATGGGCCAGTAGGCCTTCTGCAGTGTTCCTTCGTTCTTATGTTCTTATGTTCTTATGTACCTTCAACCTCACTAACCACTGAAGTACACTCGTCCTGGAGAACAGGGAATCGATTTCCTACCTTCACATCTTCTCTGATAACTCTCCTCATCTTCCTTCTTCCTGAATTGTGAACCACTTGCCACTTAGAGCGGCTGCCAATATCACTGCTGGCGACCATTCCTTCCTTACCAGCTAAATCCTTCTCACACTCGTTCCCAAACTCATCTGTGCGAAGCTTCAGCCTCCTATTTTCCTCTTGAAGAAGTAGAATCTCCTTCTTCAACACTTGAACCTGAGATTCTAAAACACTACAACAAGCCATGGTGCTTGGTAACAGCCCACGCTAACTCCCAAGAGCTTAGGCAGGTAGGACCGCAGGTGACCACTGACCTCAGCGTACTGACCACTGACCTCAGCGTACTGACCACTGACCTCAGCGTACTGACCACTGACTGACCTCAGCGTACTGACCACTGACTGACCTCAGCGTACGTGTAGTTATTCTTTGTAAATGGTTATGATTATAACCATTTACAAAGAATAACTACACACCAGATAATTCCTCTGAATTTGTGAGTGAAATAGGCGCTATGAAACTATATTACTAAAAAAAATAAGATGAAGAGCAAGAAATCATTGAGTACAGTAAGTTAATATTGGTACATAAGATAAGATAAGATAAGACTTCGTTCGGATTTTTAACCCCGGAGATAACCCCAGGATAACCCAAGAAAGTCAGTGCGTCATCGAGGACTGTCTAACTTATTTCCATTGGGGTCCTTAATCTTGTCCCCCAGGATGCGACCCACACCAGTCGACTAACACCCAGGTACCTATTTGCTGCTAGGTGAACAGGACAACAGGTGTAAGGAAACGTGTCGAAATGTTTCCACCCGCCGGGAATCGAACCCGGGCCCTCCGTGTGTGAAGCGGGAGCTTTAGCCACCAGGCCACCGGGCCACCAAACATTAACTGAGCAACAGAGTAAGACCATAATCCCCCACAAGAGCAGGTACTTACACTTGAAAGTTGAGAGGCAGTCACACAATGAACTCTGATACTGGCAGAAATTATATAAATATTTATTATCAGGCTTTTCCTCCCATTATTATTATTATTATTATTATTATAATTATTATAATTATTATTATTATAATTATTATAATTATTATTATCATGGGGAGTACTGAACCTGTAGGGATTATACAAATTTTCCCTCCCATTTAAGAACATAATATAAGAACGAAGGAACACTGCAGAAGGCCTACTGGCCCATGCGAGGCAGGTCCAAGTCTCCTACCGGCTTAAGCCAATGCACCCAACCCAGTCAGGTCAGGTCACATTGACTTAAGGGAGGAACACGGCAACCGACCTGGTAGCACAAGCTATCAGGTCCAACTCACACCCACCCACACCCACTCATGTATTTATCCAACCTATTTTTAAAGCTACACAACGTTCTGGCCTCTATCACTGCTGTACTTGGGAGTTTGTTCCACTCATCCACAACTCTATTACCAAACCAGTACGTTGTACTTTCCTATATCCTATCCTTCCTACATCACAGAAACTAATAAAGTCTCACCAGGTATTCTGTATAAAAATAAACACAATCAAATCATTTCATTGTAAACTAATAATCAATATTTTAAATTCTGAAGATTGAGACACTTATGCAACATATGGGAATCTTTATTGAAGAAACGTTTCGCCACACAGTGGCTTCATCAGTCCAATATATATCAGAAGGGTGTAAGGAGAGGAGTAATTTGAGATAATCAGTCCCTTAGCCTGGAATGGTTGTGTTCAGTTCGCCAGTCTTGTAAGAAGTACAGCATAGGGCGGTCAGGTAAGTCGAAGCAGGAGAACAAAAATTCCACACATTTTTTAAAAATTATATCACAATGACATGTTTACATTTCAATAATAATATCTAAACATCTTCTAAGCAGGATACACCTGTGTTGAAAGTTTGAAGCCGATCAGGAGAAGCATTCTCAAGCTATCGCACGGAAATGAAATCCAGGAATGGAGATACTATATAACACTGGTCAAAAGACGCACACGCATGGTAATAGTCGCATGAATTTTCCTCTAATTACACTCTCAATTAAAATTTGAAACCGATCGGATAAGGCGTTCTCGAGTTCTCAACGAAAAATTTGGAGGAAAGAAAAAAAAGTATCCAGGAATGAATGGCAACCTGCATAATTTTATTTTATCGGCAGTGTGTAGAAATTTTTTTTTACCTAACAGTTAAATATTTCCACCATGAACAACTTACACCTCCCACTGTGTAGTGGGTTGTTCATCAGACTAAAAAAAATTATAGTAGTGGGCGGTTAGGAATTTGTTCGTGATCTGGAAGACATTTCCTGATCAGGTAATTTTTTTTTTTTTTTTTTTTTGGGGGGGGGGGGGGGGGGGGGAAGTGTATATAGATGAGTTAATGCAACAAGAATGTAATGTGTTGTTGGGTAGTTTTTTTTTTTTAGTATAGTATATCCATGAACCGTTTATTAAATATTCACCGATTTTTAATTCATCAGTTCTATGTGTGTATTCCAGTGTTCCAAATATCAAATGAGAAATATATATATATATATATATATATATATATATATATATATATATATATATATATATATATTATATATAGAGAGAGAGAGAGAGAGAGAGAGAGAGAGAGAGAGAATAACAATGGTTATAAATGACCATAATTTTTTAAAGGGGTGGACCGGTAAGCCAGCGGAAGGCCTCGGTCAGATGACCAAAAGCTCCAAAGGCGGGTCATCATCTGACTAAGACCCGCGTCAGGAAACATTTGTCCTGTTTCCTGACGAACCTTACCTAACCTAATATATATATATATATACTATATAATATACATATATATATATATATATATATATATATATATATATATATATATATATATATATATATATATATATATATATATATATATATACATACATAATTAATATGAGTCCTTAGGTAAATGGACAGATACGCGACATTCTGAATATTTTATTAACACTGCGTTACGTTGGCCAGAAGAAAGTTTTGTGCAATAGTTGTATCGTACAAACAAACACATAATTCTATTTATAATAAGTGGCGTACTGTATTGTATATAATTGTTATGCAAGGCATTTTGGGCACCCTTAAAACTAACATTTGATTGATTGACAATGAGACACAAATGATGCATGAGTAAAAGAACACTTAGTTTATAATATAATGAAGGTATTGTATAATTTAATAAAAATCCTTATTAAAGATACATTAAGGTTGAAGCCAGGTACATGAATTAATACAAGGAACTAACACCTTTCTAGAAATAAATGAGAGTTGAAGGATAATGAATTGTTGTCAGGATCATATTAAGGTTGTAGGGATACTGCATTGTTACTGTTGAAACAGAAACGGACTAGGTCTTAAAACCGGTGTCAGTGCCACACTGACAGACTGCTGACACCCAGAGCCGTGTTGTCACTGCTCAGCTAAGGCGCGTCTTATTTTCGTTTCAATCTTTGTGCAGCAGCTATAACTTCAGTTTTTCTTGATATTTTTCAGCTTTATTTTTTTTTACCCAGCCCAGCGGCCCACCGGGCATTGCCCAAATGACCGTATGGTCAATCCGCCTTTGTTTTGAAATCATATCTTATTGATCGGTCATATCAAGTGGTAGCCAATGATTGTGTGTGAGCCGCCTTCTTGGCTGAATGGTGTTCCTCAGGGCTCTGCTCTTGGACCAGTATTGTTTACTGCTTATGTTAGTGGCTTACTCTCACTGTGGGATACCCATGGTGTATCCCACAGTGAGAGTAAGTTTATTCAAGCACAGGTACATATAAGTGAGTTTATTTAAGCACAGGTACATATGAGTACAATTATCATACTAGTATAAATTACCTAGAATAACCCAAATAATGTAAATGACTTATTTTCTTTGGGGTTGATTATATTGACGATATACAGGTTTACATCGGGGTTTTGAACGTGAAAGATGCAAAACTTCTTGTTAAGATTTTGTTTGGATTTTTAACCCCGGAGGGTTAGCCACCCAGGTTAACCCAAGAAAGTCAGTGCGTCATCGAGGACTGTCTGTGTTTTTTCCATTATGGTCCTTCAATAACGTCCCCCAGGATGCGACCCACACCAGTCAACTAACACTCAGGTACCTACTTACTCGCTAGGTGAACGGGTACAGCATGTGTAAGGAAACACGCCCAAAGTTTCGACCGGCCGGGAATCGAACCATGGACATTCAGTTTATGAGACGCAAACGTTGCCTACTAGGCCACTTTGATGGCATAACTGAAATTAAACGAGGAAAAGACAGAGATTGCGATTATCAAGGGAAATCTCAGGAAAATACTTACTGCAGATTTTGATTTCTTTGATTGTGGTACTGTCAGTTTGCAGCCTGTAGGTTCAGTGAAAGATCAGTATAGGATCCGTAAAAGATGTCGGTGTTTACCTGGATTCTCCATAGTCATTTATTGAGGATATCAACCAGATAATCCTTGTAATTTCCATATTCGTAATCTCTATGCAATCAGTATCGAAGTGTATCTTGGTCCTTATCCACGCGATCGTTTCCTCGCGAATTTTTTGTTTGTTGGTTTGCTTAATTATTTGCTTAAAATACTTCATTCTGCACTGAATCGTGCGGGCACCAATGGTTCACTTGGAGAAAACACCATAAGTGGCCGGGGCCCAAGACTATTCAACAGCCTCGCACCAAGCATAAGGGGAATTACCAATACACCCCTGTCTGCCTTCAAGATGGAGCGGGACAGATACCTAAAGTCAATGCCTGACCAGCCGGGCTGTGGTTCGTAGTTGGACTACGTGCGGCCAGCAGTAACAGCCTGGTTGATCAGGCCCTGATCCACCGGGAGGCCTGGTCAAGGACTAGGCCGCGGGAACGCTGACTCCCAGAACACCCTCCAGGTAGACTCCATGTAGCAGGTAGACAGGTATTTTTCTCTCCCGCTTGGAGTTCCCACTGGCTCCTACTTGTAACAGCAACACGGACTCCCTATAAAGGAAATGAAATTAAACTCGGTTTATCAACATTTCAATTATCATTATGTGAGCAAATTACCTGCAATAAGGTTTACAGGGTATTAACCGAATTATTACAGGAAAGTAATTTGGGTTAGATAGAGTTTGAATTAGTTTGCCTGAAATGCCTAGTCATGCTAGGCATGATAGTCGCCCTCTCTGTAATTAGTATTTTATAATATGTAAACCACACATTGTAACCAATATTTTATAATATGTAAGCCCCACATTGTAATCTTCATAGAGAATAAACTTTGACTGATTGATAAATGGGACTAAAGTCACAGTATGTCCAGAATTGTAACTCCCTCGATTCCCATTTCTTCACCACTCACACAAAAATCTTGACCTGACATGAAATGAATAATTACAATATTAAAACCAGCTACTCTGGTAAATTAAAATTGTGGATTGTATATGATTAGGCTTGCTGGGTACACAAAATAAATTCGTATTACCACTGGGCCAAATGGTGCTATCACTCTTGGTACAAATGCTGTCCTGGTAGACAATAACTGTAAGAATGGAGAAATGAATGTTAGTGGCCTGGAGGGAGACAGGAGCTCTAGTGGGGGAACAGGTGTAGACAAGGACAAACAAAAACCAATGTTACATACTAGCAATACCACGGGAGATAGTAAACAAGTGGATGCCCCATGAAATAGTGAAGAAAAAATTTACGAGAAATAACTGGTGAGGGTCCATTGTTAGTACTAATGTGAAGATGTAAGGGACAGGAAAAAAAACGCACCATAAGGAATACGTCACAAAAAAACAAGGGAAGCAAAACCAGGCCCTTACTTAGTATCTGCGGCATGGAAAATCTGGAAAAAACAGAAGGGACGTGCAACTTTTACTCCCCAAAAAAACCGTGCCCCTATGACAACAGGGGAAAAAGCAATCTTTTTCCTCAGCTTTTCCCCCCTGAATGTGTACCTTTTAGTTCGGAAAGACAGTGCTACAATTTTAATTTTAGGCACACCCCACCTAAAGGGGAAAGAAGATACAAAAAAACCCCGCCCTGGGAAAAAACTAGGTACCCCACTCACTTAGAAAAGAGGTTTTTTTTTTTGCGTCAGGGCGAAAAAAAAAACTGGCAGGAAATAAGAAATGTACACTAACTCGATCTTTGTAGTCGTGGGCCCCCAATCCACAAAAAACAAATATTGTGCCAGGAAAAAAGACCCCCCCCCCATACCCCCAATCTGACACATTTATCTTTGCAAATATACAGGGTCTAAAGTCAGCAACAAACAACAAAATCCTTTCATCCGTGGTTGCTTACGAGTCCCCAAAGCAACGTTCGCGGGTTTTTAGAGACCCACATAGGGACCACTTTTACAATGAAAATGGATCCCGATCGACGAGTGAACGGCAAAAGGGGGGGAAAGGGGGGTTTGGGTTTACTCACGTCATATATGCTCGGAACTACTAAATGCCTCAAATGATGTAGTTGAAGTTTTGACAGTAAAGATCGAGAACCAAAACCTAGTCATTGTGGTTGTACACAAGTCTCCGGATGCAACTTCCCAACAATTCCAGGAACAGCTTGTGAAAATTGATCACTGACTGGAAAATCTTCCATCTCCTGCCCCCAACATCTTGCTCCTAGGGGATTACAACCTAAAGGCACCTAAAATGGAGGAATGTAGCAAATAATGTTGTAGCAGAGATAACCCCAGGAGGCAGCTCAGATGAAAACTCGCACACATGAACTTTTAAATCTCTGCACAAAATTCACCTTAAACCAGCAAATAATAGAGCCTACAAAACTGGAGAATACACTGGACCTCATCTTCACTAACAATGATGTTCTGATACGTAATATTACCATATCAAAAAATATGCTCAAATCACAACATAACAGAAGTTCAGACATGTATGCGTGGGGCCCCTGACCGACAAAATGTGACCATTCACGAGGGAGCATTCACCAAATTCAACTTCAATAACAAAAATATAAGGTAGGACCAAGTACACTAGGTCCTAAATGATATAAACTGGGAAGATAGCCTAAGCAACGCGGTCCAAACCTATGTCTAGAACATATTAACTCTGTGGCACTTGAGGTATGCTCAAGGAATATTCCTTTAAGGAAAAGGAGATGTAAAGTAGAAAGAGAAAGGCACTCCCTATACAGGCGAAGGCAAATAATAATAGAGGGGCTAAAAGAGACCATATATGTGCAATACATAGGGAGACACTGGTCAGAGAAATAGCAAATATCGAACTAAAGGAATCTTACAGGAACCAAGATACGCGGGAAGAACTGAAAGCCATGAATAAAATTGAAAGAAACTCAAAGTATTTCTTTTCTTATGCCAAATCAAAGTTGAGAACAACATCCGGTATATTTTTTGAGATACAGAATTTAGTAGACTCGAACTCATCTGATATTATCCTGACGCCAAATGACTTCGAAAAGGCGATAAATGATATGCCCATGCACTCTGCCCCAGGCCCAGACTCATGGAACTCCGTGTTCATCAAGAACTGCAAGAAGCCCCTATCATGTGCTTTTAACATCCTATGGAGAGGGAGCATGGACACAGGAGTCATCCCACAGCTGGTAAAAACAACAGACATAGCCTCACTGCTCATTCCTTTCCTCTTGAAAAAGCAAATGACCTCATAAATGACTGGTCCAAAACATCCAGGCATGAAAACCTTCCATCTCATATTAGAAAAAAATTAGAGAGTACTTCTGAAGAAATGTTGAAACTGATTAATTTTATGAGCCAAAATATTGATGAGAGTGCCTCTTTACCGAGTATGAATTAGGTAATGCATTAACTAAAGGTCGATCAACTGCTCCTGGAGAGGATGGTATAACCTATGATATTCTCAGAACTCTAAGGCACGTGCCTGATAACCCTTTGTTGGCACTGTATAATCTCAGTTACATTGAGGGCGTTCTTCCTACTTCCTGGACCAATAGTCTCATTGTGCCTATCCCTAAGCCCCAACAGCCTGATACATTTAGGCATATCTCCTTAACTAGTTGTCTTTGTAAAACTTTTGAAAGAATGATACTTAACAGATTGTGCTACGAATCAGACACCCAAATTTCCCCTACCTCTATGGTTCTGAAAGGTAAAAGGTGCAGAACTGTATTTCCACCTTTCTCACTGCACAAAACCTCTACTTAGTTTTAACCACTTTTCTTGATCTAAAATCTGCATTTGATATTGCGAACAGAACCCTTATACTACTGAACTAACCAAAAGAATATTGGTGGTAGCTTACTCTGCGGATAATAGGATACCTGTCAAATAGAGTTTCCTCTGTCCTTTACCAAGGCTTCAGAAGGGATTCTAAAGAAATGTCTTTAGGTACACCGCAGGGAGGAGTTCTTAGTCCCATGCTATTTAAAATTCTGATTAATGCCTCCTAATGCTCTACCTGCCCCACCTAAAACATATAGCTATAAGCTATGCTGATGATATCTGATCCATACAACAGGCATAAGAAAGTGGAATACCTTTCTTAATGAATTCAAGCAATTTGTTAATCGACTAGGCTCATAATATCTTCCTCTAAAAACATGATTTTAACAAGCAAACGAACATCCCCCCACCACTTCTAATTGCAGGGTGACATCTTAGCTACGTTTAACAAAACTTACAGTATTTAGTTGTAGATGTACCCTTTAACAATCCATACACCCAACTAATAAGAAATGCAAAGCTAGGCTAATTGCTCTTCAAAGCTGTTGCTGGCTTCAACCCTTAACTATGGTGCTAATGATGAGAATGTGAGAATGATGTACCATAGCCTATGTTAGGTCTTAATTGATTATGCTGCTCCATGTTGATATTAGCAGAGAAAGTCTCTCCGGCCCTTGGAGTTAATGCAAAAATGAAGCTATCAGGAATTTTTTTATTCTTGGCTGTCCCAGATACTACAAAAGTTTTCAAACATGAGGAATGGAGCTTGGTATTTCTAGTTCAGTTGATAGGATTGTTGAGATTAACACTGTACTCGGTTTTAGAATGTTGAGAACGAACTAGGACACTGTCACAATGAATCTTACCAAGTGTCTTAGAAGGTAATTAAACACAGATCTAAATGGATTGCAGAAAACGGTGCAATGCTTAAGTTTTATAACTTCATGAGCTGTATCACTGTAGGCAACATAGAGCATTTCACCCCTCCATGGAAGATGTGTTCATTTAATATCACATACCTGGGCAGGTCCCTCCCAAGAAGCTCATTGCTCTAGTAATCCCTTTCATTAAATCTCTTGTTAGAGCAATGCTCAAGAAGAAAAATTTCTCTCCTAGCTGGTTGTTTTTCTCTTTAAGGTTACAATGCTGAGTTTACAGAATTTGGTTAATTGTCGTGCGTTTACATGTAGTAAAATAATGATTACAGAGTGTACCAACTAGACACCTAGCGTGGCTAGGCATTTCGGGCAGATACTTAGTTTAAATTCTTAATTTTTAAAATATTAACAAATTATGGAGGTAAGTTGGTAGTTTATGGCTAAGTGACTAAATATCTAGTTTGTGAGTTTAGCATTGAATGCGTTTTGTTTTGGCACAGTACATAGTTTCAGTATTTGGAGTATCACAGGATTCATTGTTTAAAGAATTGCGATTAATATTTATGGTTATGGTTCAAATGGGTGAATAGTGGTATAAGTGTGAAACCACCAGGTGTATTCGTGTAGTTAGTTGACGGGGTGTATCAGGGAGATAAGATGTTTTTAATGATTCGTTTGAAGGTGATTGAATGTGTCTGCAGTACTAGATTCTCAGTTAGGGTGTTCCAGATTTTAGGGGCCTTTACATACGTTGAATTTTTGTTAAAGGGTTTTGTCGGACTCTGGAATGTCGTTAGAGAAGTTTGTTGTCTAGTGTTATGCCTGTGTGTTCTGTCACACCTATAAGAAAGGGTTTTAGGTCAGGTGATATTGGAGTTTACGGGCCTGTTGATGTAGATGGCACTAGTAGTAAGTGTGGATGTTACTGAACAGTGGTGTAAGTTTAGATCTTGAAGGGTGGGGGGGGGGGGTGTTGCCAGGGAGGGGATTTAGTGATTTTCTTACTGCGCTTTCTGGTTGGGTTATTATTGGGCTTAGGTGTGTTACTGCAGTTTGATCCCCAAGCACAAATAGCATAGGTGAGGTTTGGTAAATAGTGAGTGGTTTAGTGTGAGAAGGGCATTTTGCGGCACGTAGTATGTATCTTGGAGAGGATCCCACCGTTTTGAGATACTTTTTTGGTTATGTGTTGGATATGGGTTGGCTGAACTAATTTTAGTGTCTTGTAGTGCTCGGGTACCCCCCCCCCCCCCCCCCCCCCCCCCCCCCCCATCTTGGCCATGTACATTGCCCACATTATGTCTGGGAAATTAGAGTGTTGTCGATCTTAATGTTAATTTGTGCATCTCTGCTCTGCTACCAAACATAATATAGTAGGTTTTGTCAGTGTGTTTAGCGTAAGTTATTGGCTGTCATCCAAGTCGATATTTTGATCAGTCCTTCATTAACTATGGTGCTGAGGGTGGCAAAATTTTAGGGTGAGAGATATGACATAAGTCGTGTCGTCAGCAAAGAGAATGGGTTTCAGGTGTTTGGATACGCTCTTGGAAGTATCATCGATTGTATATGGGAAGAGCAGGGGACCAAGGACACTTTCCCTGCGGAACTCCAGTACCAAGTGGCCGTGTTGTTGATGCTGTGTCTTTATATGGTGACATATTATACTATTAGCAAGGTAGATTTGAAATAAGCAAGCGCTTGGCTCTTATTACCGTAATGGTCAAGTTTGTGGAGTAGATGCCGTGGTCTACTGTGTTCAAAAGCTTTTCTTAGGTCAAATAAAAAGTTCCTAGTGGATATTCCTTATTTTCCAATGCTGTGTAATAGCAGATCTAGCATTTTTATGATTGCATCATTTGTGCTTTTATTTTCCTGAATCCAAATTGGCAGGAGGGGTTGAGCATGATTTTGGTGCCGATCTAAATGAATTATAGTCTATGGCACGAGTTTCTAAAGATTTTGGATAGGCAATGGTAAGTTTGATATTGGCTCTATAGTTGTTTAGTCTGTAGGGTCACCATCTTTATTGTATTGGTGTAACCCTTGACCATCTTGAGTAGTTTCGGGAAGGTGTGCTAGTTTCTAGTGTCTTGTTAAAAAGTAATGAAATAGCATGCGAAAGGACATGGGCCGCTCGCTTGTACAGTAATGGTGGGGACATGAGGACAGATTCCCTGAGTTATTTTTAGTGGACTTTATAATTCGGTGACTTCGTGTGGGCTCAGTTGGTTGCAAGATAGAAGGAATTGGGAAAATTCCCATCTAGGGTTAGATCCCCAGCATGGGCATTGGTAATGTGGGATTTTTTATTGCGAGATTAGATCTATTGGTTGAGAAGAAGTCGTTTATCTTGTTAGCTGTGTCAGTGGGATGTAGGGGTGTTTATTGGGTTTTTAGTTGGGACAATTTCTTGTTTTTTTTCAGTTTGTGGGTCCCAAAAAAATCAGATTGTTTTCCAGGTTTTTTTTAATTCCTCTAGTGTCGTGAATTTGGGGATGTATATTTGTTTGGCTTTCTTTATTACTTTGGTAAAATGATGAATAGTGTTTAAAAATACTTTGTGTATTAACCCCTGTTTTTTGTTTTTATAGGGGTTTTTGTCAATGGATTTCAGAAGGGGGCGGGTTTGCCATGGGAAACCCAAAGCCGTTTTTTTGTGATCGTTTCGTTTTTATGGGGACAATGTTTGTTTATAGTTAAGTAATTTTTTAAAGAAAAATGTTGTCAGTCACAATACCATTGGCCCTTGGAGAATTCTGTGGGCCAGTAAACATCTTAGGGCAGCTGTGAACTTCCTTATTGAGGGGTCGTCATGGAGTCTAAATGAGACTTTGTTGTTTCAAATGGTGGTTTACTAATGTTTGTCAGGGGGAAATAGGGTAGTGGGCTGTATTTCTATCTGTGATTAAACCCTGATTTAAGGGGGTTAGTATATTGGTCCAAAAGGTCTATTTTGGTTGCACTTGTCTCAGTGAGCCCGGTTTTGGTTTTGTTTTGTTGGTTGAAAGTGTGTTTTTCAATTTTGATGAAATCGTTACAGGTGATATTAGTATGCCAAGGTTGATGTTGAAGTCTCCCGCAAGGAAAGGGGGTTTCTTATTCATTTGGTTTGTTTTTGTGACTTTAATTTCCACTGAAATTTGGGATTTTTGTGAGGTATCCGGGAAATGGCACCGTTTTTTAAAGGGGTCTTTTGTTTTTTTTTCGTAAAATTTTGCAAAAATGTTTCCCCTATTCATCACTAAAGCAGTGGCGCAATACAAATAATTTAGGTAAAAGATTTCAATACCACCCCCCAAATTGGTTTGGTCTGCAGTTTTGAATTGCTGTTACCCGGTAGAGGGTAGAATCTATTGTGTCCCGCTTAAACCGGGCTCAGAAGAATAATGCGGGGAAGGGTGTTTAGTGATTTAAGGAAGGGCCCGGGGGTCATCAAATGTTTGCTTAAAACCCGGTTGATTTAAATTTTTACTGATGACTTTTGGCATTTTTTAGGATAGTGTGGCTTGTGGGTGCTGTGTATAAAGGCAACTTTCCCAAAAGGGTTTTTATTGGGGTCGATTTTGGGGGTTTTGATCGGGTCAACGTGATAAATCATCTTTAGGTTTAAATTATGGTTATTTTATATGATTGTGTTGAGTTCTAGACTGATATCTGTAGTGGTGGGAATTTTACAAGTACACTAGGTATTTTGGTATATAGAGTATAGTCACTGTCACATAATGAGTTGATGTTTTCTATGTGTTGTGCTGGAAAGAAATAAAATTTCAACTAGGTATAAACTAGAATATAAAAAAAACAAATTAAAAAAAGAACAAGCTCTCATTGTAATTGTTTGCAATTAATGGCGCTAAAGCTAAATATGACCTGGTTTGATAAATTCTATGTTCATTAAAGGCTCTTGACTTAAAATACCCCCAAAACAGCTCTTTGGGAGAAGTCGGTAAGTACCAAAATTAGGGACAAAGGAATTAATGTAAAATTTTTATGGATCCCACCCAAAATTTGGGATTACTCCTTCATGATAAAGTTGATAGTTGCCAAAAGAGCCCAAAAGGGAGAATGTAGAATATAATTTTGGATAACTGTGTCTAGCATTGGGAATAATATTGGGAGAAGTAATATGAAAATGAGATTCTGAAGCAGAAGAAAAAAAATACTGCTTAAATTTATGCCCTGAATTTGTTTTGATAAAGCCTGGATGGCGAAACTCCAATAAAGATACCCAGATGTTGCACATGGCTTACTCTATCTTGTTTTTTATTACCTTCGTACAAAAACTTGTCAGACACTGCAACATCATGGAATTTTAAATTTTTGAGGACATTGACAACCTTCACGACTCGACAACTCTCTACAACAAACCCCACCTTTGGGAAAGGGCCCTTTACTTCCATGGGGAATCCCGCCTACCAGGGGAATTTGCCCTCGTTGCTTCCCCTGGGGTTACTATATGCGCCAGGATTCTTTCTTTTTTGTTAGAATCCCCACGACTTGGTGCTTTTCGCCCACTCCTAGGTTGGGGGCTGTTCCCTATCTTCTGTAATGTTCTGTCTTCAAGTTTGCCCTAGAATTTGTATTGAAAAGCCACGGGATGGCGAAACGTCTACAATAAAGATCCCCAATTTGCACTGGTCTTACTCTATTTGTCGGATTATATACCTTTCGTACAAAACTTGTCAGACACTGCAACATCGGGGAAATCTTAATTTGAGGACAGGGTACAAAACCTTTCCCGACTACGAAAAACTACTACTAAAACAACCCATTTTTTTTGGGGAAGGACCTATTCCACTGGGAACCCCACCGTAAATTTGCCTCGTCTGCTTCACCTGACATTATATTAAGAGCCAGGTTTCTTTCTTTGCTTCCCCGAATCTCCGACTTGGTGCGTTCGCCCCTACCCCTAGGTTGGGGGGGATGTTTACCTCATTTTCTGTCATATTTACTGTTTAAAGTTATGTCTAAAATTTTGTATTGATAAAGCCAGGATGGCGAAACGCTACAATAAGATCCCCAGATGTTGCACATGTGTCTTACTTCATTTTGTCGGTTTATACACCATTGACACAACTTGTCGACACTGCAAATCAAGGAACTTAATTCTGAGGACATTACAAACCCTTCACGACTACGACAATAACTACAACAAAACCCATCTTTTGGGGGAAGGACCTAATTCCCACTGGGGAATCCCCCCTCCCAGTGAATTTGCCCTCGTTGCTTCACCTGAGTTACTTTTAAAAGGGCCCAGGATTCTTCTTCTGCTTCAAAAATCTCCACGACATGGTGCTGTTCGCCCCTACCCTGGGTTGGGGGACTGATTCCTCTTTTTCTTAATATTTTTACGTCTTAAAGTTATGTCCTAAAATTTTGTATTGATAAAGCCACTGGATGGCAAAAACGCTACAATAAAAAACC